GAATGTCTAGAATTAAACATAAGCTCATAACACTGATTTCCGTTAATTATGATAGGAAGATTAGTGATGAATTGCCCAGCAAATAGCCTCTTTGAAACTCTTCCTTTCTCACTCAGTTTCTGATGCCACTGTGTTGGACGAGAGATTTTCAATCCTGCCCTGCCCTGCCCTTCGTTTTATTTTTATTTTTATTTGGGCGGGGGCACGGCAAACAAAACTGGTAACTGAAAACTTCTTAAGATTTTTTGGAAAGAATCCTTTGCAAATCTAATCCTGAACTGTGCAAAACATGTCCTAGAGCGGCATTCAGCAGACCTCTGCTCTTACATCTTGAGTGCTTCCTCAACAAAAGGAGTAAAACAAACCATCAGAAGTTACGCCCTACTTTCCATTCCACCCTCCCTCCTCTGTCATCTTGTTTTCACTTTCTGTAACCCAGCCATCTCTCTCCCTTTCCTCATCCATCCTCTACTATTTTGCTTGCCTTTTCTGACCTCCTCTACTGTCCTCTCTTCTCTCCACCTCTTTTCTGCTGACCTGCTTATGTCTTCTGTTCCCCTTGGCTGTTCTCTCCCTCCCCCATGTACTACTATGCTATCATATTTGCTGCTCCTCTCCCATTATGTTACCTCTGTCAATCTTTGCTTCCTCTGTTATCACACTTCTTGATGACGTAATCCAAAGGTGAGAATGGCTAATATCCTTATTAGACAACTAAAACAATTACACACAGAAGGTATTTTCAACTGAGGGCAGTGACAATGGGTGGGTGGAGGCAATGGCACCCCCTAGCTGTGCGCCCTACACCATGGAAGAAATGTGTGTTTATAATGTAAGCATCAACACATTTATTGCTTCTTTTACTTATTTTACATATTTTTATCCTGCCTTTTCTCCTTAAAGAAAGGAACAAGGAAAGGAGACATCCACAACCTCGTCATCAGCACATGACACCTCCACCCCCACACAAACAAACACATATCTCTGAAAAGAGAGCAGGGGAATTTGCAACAGGAAAGGTTGTCAGAACATCCCAAAACAATAATAGTTATCAAGTTTAATTAGGAATGAAAAGATACAGGAATGGGAAGATATGGAGGCAGTGACAGAATTCACTTTCTTGGGCTCTACGATCACCGCAGATGGTGACAGCAGCCACAAACTTAAAAGACGCCTGCTTCTTGGGAGGAAAGCGATGACAAACCTAGACAGCATCTTAAAAAACAGAGACATCACCTTGCCGACAAAGGTCCGCATTGTCAAAGCTATGGCTTTTCCAGTAGTGATGTATGGAAGTGAGAGATGGACCATAAAGAAAGCTGACTGCTGAAGAATTGATGCTTTTGAATTGTGCTGCTGGAGGAGACTCTTGAGAGTCCCCTGGACTGCAAGGATAACAAACCTATCCATTTTGAAGGAAATCAACCCTGAGTGCTCACTAGAAGGACAGATCCTGAAGCTGAGGCTCCAATACTTTGGTCATCTCATGAGAAGAGAAGCCTCCCTGGAAAAGACCCTAATGCTGGGAAAGTGAGGGCAAGAGGAGAAAGGGGCCACAGAGGACGAGATGGTTGGACAGTGTCATCGAAGCTACCAACATCAATTTGACCCAACTCCGGGAGGCAGTGGAAGACAGGAGGGCCTGGCATGCTCTAGTAGTCTATGGGGTCATGAAGAGTCAGACATGACTTAACGACATGAGTAATACAATATTGATAGAAGTAGAGGACCATCAGAAAGTTTCCAAAGCTGTATGGGAAGTAGACTAAGCTGAAAAAAATGTTGAGGTATGGAACAATGTATGTGACAAAATAATTTTAAGCAGTATGTCTATAATTTTTTTAAGTTAATATGGAGATGGTATTTAATACAGTGGTGCTTCCACTTACGAATGCCCGCCCCTACTTAGGAACATTTCGAGTTATCCATGGGTCTGTTCATATTATTTTGCTTCTACTTGCAAACGGAGTTTCCACTTACAAACAGAAAAAGGGTGGGGAAAAAGGCCGGAAATTCAATTTCTAACTGTAGGTGGCGACAAGGCTGCTTCTTTGTACTGTAGCTCTTTCGCTTTCAGCAGTTAGAGAGTGCCTCCTGCTTCGGAGTGAGCATGTGTGTGTGTTTGCAGTGAGGTAAAATGCTGTTTTCTCCTTTTAAAAAACTGTTCAGGGTGGGTTTTGGCTGCGGGGGGGGGTATGTTTCTGTGCTGTGTTGTTGGCTTTGCTGTTTATTTTTGGAGTTCTTTTTTTTCTTAAAGCTGCAGTAACAGAGCTGGCTTTGCTGTTTAGTTTTGCATTTCTTTTTTTTCCTTAAAGCTGCAGTGACAGAGCTGGCTTTGCTATTTAGTTTTGGATTTTTTTTTTTCTTAAAGCCTGAGCAATGGAGCTCGCTTTGCTGTTCAGTTCTGGATTTCTTTTTTTTTTCCCTTAAAGCCCCAGCGCCTTCTAACCAGATTTGCTGTGTTCTTTTTATTTCTTTTGTGATGTTTTTCTTTGGCCAGAACGGATTAATTGGTCTTCAATGCATTCCTATGGGAAATGGTGCTTCGACTTACAAACGTTTCGATTTAAGAAAATCTTCTGGGACGGATTAAGTGCGTAAGTCAAGGCACCACTGTACTGGTAAACTTAAATCATAAAGATACTAAATATTCTAAATTGTGTTGGAGATGTGATCAAGTTGTAGATATTCATATGTTGTAGTTGTAGATTTTCATATGTTATGGGGATGTTCTGGAAATTGATTTTTAAGGAAATGAATGTACAGTAATACTAAAGTTAAACATGGACATTTGTTCTTTAGCAATCCTTTTATCTATTTTATAGAATGTTCTACATGGAGGTTTGAAGAAAGAGCTAATTTCTTTTTTACTAACAGCAGCAAGATTAATTATAACAAAAAAGGAAAGCAAAATATGATTTTCAGTTATCTGAATGCTATAATAAGATTTGAAATATTTGGAATTAAGTTGGTAGGTAATACAGTATTAAAATTAAAATGATTGTTAAATAGAAATATTTTAATGATACAGTGGTGCCTCGCTTAGCGATTGCTCCGTTGAGTGATGAAATCGCTTTGCGATGGACTTTTGGGCATTTCTGGAGCAATCGCTTAGCGATGTCCTCTATGGCTAAAATTCGCTTTGCGATGATCACAGGGAAGCGATCATGGCAAAGCAAACTTTTTTAAACAGCTGATCGGCGGTTCCAAAATGGCCGCCGCAAAAACAAAATGGCCACTGCTGTTTTGCCTTGCTGTAGAGGCACCCCAAATGGCCGCCGCTATGGAGGAATTTCGCTTTAAGGTAAGTTTTTAGCCCATAGGAACGTATTAAATGCATTTTAATATGTTCCTATGGGCTTTTTAAAATCGCTTAGCGATTAAATCACTTAGCGATGTTTTTTCGGAACGGATTAACATTGCTAAGTGAGGCACCATTTATATTAGGGAGACTTCACAGAATTCGTATTAATAAAGGGGAAAGGACACCTAGCTTTAAAGAAATATTGCAATTCCGGAGGGGAAAGGGGAATCCATTATATTCAATGGAAAACTAAACGTATCCTTATTAATCCTGGTGAACGGAAGCACTGTGTTTTAGTTAAATATATTGGATTAACTATGATTATTAAGTATGATTAAGATGGATATGTTATCTATTGCTTTAGTCAGGGCCTTCTCTGTCACTTCTCCCAGACTCTGAAACTCCCTCCCACGGGAATCTAGGCTACCCCCATCTCTGCTGTCCTTCTGCAAGCAGAATAAAGACCTTCCTCTTCAGGCAGGCTTTTCCTTAATGATTGGTGGCCAGAGAGGGGTTTTAAATGGATCTTCTCAGGCTCTAGTTGTGCTCTGCTCTTTTAAATGTATTTTAATATTTATCTCATTTGCCATCTTAATATAGTACTTGTTCAATCCTTTTTAAATGTGTGTGTACTTACTGTTTTAGCTTTAAATACTGTTCTAGTAACGTGAACCACCTTGGGTCCTTTTGGGGAGAAAGACGGCACAGAAATGTCATGTTACATATTCTTTTAGTTGTTTTTTCTGAGTATTTTCTGTTAAGTAAATAAAAAACATATATTTAAAAATCTCTATGTAGTTGACATTTTACGACACAGTATCTTGTATCACATCAATAGCAAGGAACAATTTATCCAGTAATCCTCTTTGACTCATCCAGAAACAAAATAAACCATCTTCTAAAAAGCCAGTATCAGTGTGATGTTATATTTTTAAAACCATTTCCTGAAATTTTGTTATAAGGATTGGGTATGATCCTAAAATGTGTGAGTCTGTATGATGCAGCAGTTAGAATGGTGAACTGTGTCTGAAAAGTTCCAGTTTAAAGTCCTCATGGAGCTACAGCTTCAGTTCAGATGCCCTTTAACCTAAGGCATACCACAAGAGACTGTCATGATCATCTGTGGAGCCCTTTAGACCAGTGGTCCCCAACCTTTTTGTCTCCGCGGACTGGTTGGGGGATGATGGGGTCTGTGTATGGAAAAGTTGGGGTTCCCCCTGCGCTTGGGCACATGTGTGAAGGGGCAGGGGGATGCGCGCACTCACTCGCACACGCAAAGGGGTGGAGGGGCACACACACTCACATGCATGCGTGAAGGGCTGGCGGGGGCGCTTGGGGGGCACTCGCACTGGTGCGTGCACTTGTACAAAGGGGCAGGGGCACACACACACATATGCGTGAAAGGGCTGTGTGGGGGTAAGGGAGATCTGTCTCTGTGGCTCAGTCTAGCCCACGGACCGGCACCAGGCGGGGACCCCCGCTTTAGACCATCTTTGAGCTCTCTGAAGGGTGTGTTTCTGTGCGTGCATGTGTGTGTGTGTGTGTGTGTGAGAGAGAGAGAGAGAGAGAGAGAGAGAGAATCCAAGTATGTATGCAACTTCAGACAAACTTTAAAAAAAATAAACCTCAGATTCTCAGCTAGGTAAGAATATGGATTCATAACAACTCTGAGCATGTAAACTTTCTGTTCACCCAGGTCTCTGGGGCTTGGTCAACAATGCTGGTGTAGCTATTCCTACAGCCCCCAACGAATGGCTAACCAAGGAAGATTTTGCCAAAGTGATAAACATCAACCTGCTTGGGATGATTGATGTGACATTGCACATGCTGCCACTCCTGAGAAAGGCCAAGGGGAGGGTGATCAACATGGGAAGTGTGATGGGAAGAATATCAACCAGCGGAGGAGCTTACTCCATATCTAAATATGGCGTGGAAGCCTTCTCAGACAGTCTGAGGTAAAATACCTGCCCAGCTGGGCTGAAAATTAGGGGGTATGTTGCCTACAACTACGTTTGCATAAAAAGGCATTTTTAATGGGGTGAACTCATCCCTTCACAAAAAGCAGAGGCTTCTCCCTCCAAAGGGCATGCTTCTCATATATACCCAGACGCACTAACTTTAACATCCCATTCCAGGAGGTCAAAGAAGAAATTATTTAACAAGTGCTACAACACATATAAGGAAACACCTCTCTCTCTCTCTCTCTTTCTTTGCAATTCCCTTGGGGGTCGTGATCTCCAGGTTGGGGATCCCTGGTCTATAAGGTTCAACAAGACTCTTGTTATTTTTGCTGCAATAGTATAGAAACTTACATGGCTATCCCTCTAGTGACTGATCCGTTGACTAATGAATCTAATCACCTAAGTGACACAGCAGTCACTTTCTTTCCTCTATAGATCCCATGGTCACTAACAACTGACAACTGCAGGATCTCTCCCCACCCCCAAGTCTTTAAATTGGAAGGATTTTTTAACAAAAATTAGACAATGGGGGGTGGATGTGAAAGTCTATCCTTTGCAGGGGTGTATGTGTGTGCCTTCACACCTCTGCAAATTGCCCACCCCTGGACTATACAGAAGCAGGTGTCCAACGGAAATCAGCAAGAGCAGGCTGCCTTCAGCTGAGAGAATGTTTTATTGGAGTGAACTAGATAATTAAGGGAAAGGAAAATCCTGTTGCCAGTGGCTACTTGAACAGATAGAAGAAAGGGAAGTCAAGCCTGGGAGAGTCAGAGAGGGAATTCACCCGGAACTTTATCTGCCTCTACTTCTATTGCCCCCTAGTGGTGCATATTTACTCGTGCAAGTGTGATGGTGTAGCTTATCTTCACATTTTTAGAGCTTCTCAGAGAGCCTCATAGGGAATGAAATATAAATGTTAGGAATCATAACTTTAAAAAGCAATGGATGGATTAAAAATGCTACATGTTACAATAAACACTTGTCCTCTTATTTTGCCATGCACCTACTCAAGAAGGCCTTTTCTCAAACATTTTGATGAGAAGAACCCTTTCACTCATTGGGCACTCCTGAACTTGAACGCCAAAGTTTTCTATAACAGTTATGAAATATTTGTATGATTACTCTGGATTAATAAGATTACATATTTCTTCCTTTTCTTTTCCCCACAATTCAGGCGTGAACTTCTTCCCTTTGGAGTTCAAGTCAGCATTATTGAACCTGGTGGTTTTGCTACAGCTGCTACCAGAAATATAGTGGAGAACTACAAAACCGTATGGAGCCGAGTACCTTCTGACATCAGAGAAAGCTATGGGCAGCCCTACTTTGAGCAGTGTGAGTTAAATTCCTGGAAACTGTCTTGACATGCTATGACTATACTTTAGCAATTGAAAAGGCAAGAGCTGTAAACATCTAAAGATCCGAGCTCTGCTCTCAAAGAAAGCTTAGGGGACACAGCCATCAAGAAGCTAGATAGCAGAATTGCCTCTTTTAAACAAGGACAACCTTAATGGATACTAATACAACTAAGTCTAGTGACACCTAGTGATTAAACTACATAATGACACATAATCCACATTGTCCCCATAACTGTTTTCAAATGTCAAGAATCGTTTGAGATGCCTCTCATTTGGCTATGAGGATGTATGTCAGAGTTTTTCTCTGTCCCTTCTACTACCACATATCTCAGGCTGCCTCCTGCAGGACAAAACCTCTTACTTTTTCTTCCTGTTTCCACTATGCAGATTGCAAATTATGCCAAGATTTCCTGGATAGAAGCAACTCCAACCTCCATCTGGTCACTAACTGTATAGAGTGTGCCCTGACATCCTGCCATCCTCGCACTCGCTACTCTGTAGGCTGGGATGCAAAGCTTTTCTACATTCCTGCCTCTTACTTGCCAGCTGCAGTGAGTGACTATGTGCTGCTCCGCCATTGGCCGAAGCCAGCACAGGCAGTATAGCTTATCTTATAAAACTACACTGGGTTGTGGTTTCATTAAGGGTAGACAAATGGACAATTTAACTAGACGAGTTTTAAATATTATACATGAAATAGAAAAAGAAAAAATAAAAGCAATGATTTTATCACTGGATATATTTAAAGCCTTTGATTGTGTTGAATGGTCAACACTAAAACTTCTTATAAAAGGTTGGGGATTTGGTAAAAAGTTTAGAGGGGTTATAGATCAATTATACTTTTTGACTCCTGTAAAATTGGATATAATAAATCCAACATACCCCAAAGCATGTTGGAAATGTGATGAGGAAATTGGTACGTATTTTCATATGTGGTGGGAATGTAAAGTGGTTAAGAAATTTTGGGAACTGATTTTTAAAGAAATGTGTGATATATTTGGTAAAGATATTGATTTTAATGCCAAAATTGCTTTATTGTCAATTTTTGATAGCACAGATTTGGACCATCAGTCGAAAGAATTAATCACTAATTTTATGACAGGTGCTAGAATATTAATAGCTAGATTTTGGAAAGACAAGAATGATATTAAAATTGAAGACTGGTATTGTGAAGTATGGGACATTGCATTAAATGATAAATTGACTATGGAACTTAAAATAAAAAGAGGGGAAATAAGTTGTAATAATTTCTATGATATTTGGGGTAAATTTGTGGAATTTGTGTTAGTGAAAGGAAGGGGGAAAGCCTCTAAAGAATACTCAATACAATTTTGGAGAGGTAATATGTAAAAAAAAATTATTATAGTAAATAGAGTCCCGTGGGTATGGGGTGTACGTTAGAATTTAGTTTATAATAAGCAGTATTACTTGTATTTTTTTGTGTGTGTATTTTGGATGTTATGTATGTGGTTTTTTTCTGTATTTTTTGTATAAAATAAAAATTTAAAAAAAACTACACTGGGAACTTCTATCCAAGTCAAAGACAGCACATAATCCCAACTGTATATGTAAGAATAGATGAGCTGTCCTGGACCAAACCAGAAAAATACCAATCTAATCTCTTGTTCTGTTTTCACAATGGCCAGCAAGGCTCAAAACGGTCTACTCCTTAACTGTCCTTATTGGTTCAGAGCATACATACCCTGTTTTGCTAAAAACCTTGGTTTCTGGACCATGACACAGCAGGGTAGTGGCTCAAACTTGTTTTGCAAATAGGGAACGGGTCTGCAGAATGGAGTAAACAAGCTTATTCTGCCATGACTATATAAAGAGATGGTATTCCTAATGTCAGTGTCCCCAGTATTCTGGGCACCCACAATTGTGTGCATTGAATCTGAATCTGTATTTGCTACAGCTTGGTTTAATAAACCTGGAATCTCAATTCAAGAAACTTCACCATTCTTGCCTGCTTTCTGCTAAGCGAAAGGACTTCACCCAAGGGGCCTCTGACACAAACAGAGGCCCTCTTCTGCTCCTGTTTCCCAGCAACTGGTATTCAGAGGCATATTGGTTCTGAAAGTGGAGATCATAGTCAGCCATGGAGAGTTGCGCTCCTCAGGACTTGGGACAGAGGTTTTTAGCATGACGATCGTTACTGTACTTCTATTAACAAAACATTGGGATTTTGCTCTGTGATCGGGCAGTACATTTGTTTTTGCCTAGATTGAGGCCTTTGTTTACCATCTGGACAGGAGATAAGAATGCATGTCTCCCTGTAAAATGAAGTCCAGATATTTACACTCCCTTGGGCATGTTCAGGCAGGGGAGGAATGTCTAAGCTATCTACCTTCACAGAGCCGTTGGTTCTTCCTGGGTCCTCCTTGTTGTCAACACTGGATATTTTGTCATTGTTTTCACCTTTTTATAGTGTACTTCTCTCCCTCACAGTTTCTTCCAGAAGGCCTTTCCTTCTCTTCTGATTAGACACAATAACAATTTTAAGACATAGTTATCATTTAACATATTGAAGGAAAAACATGTTCTGCTCTCCAGCTTCTCCCAATCTTCATACTTCATGAAGCTTTTTTGAATCATCACATGTCATCTGGAGCCAATTTGCGGGGGGGGGGCGTTTCAGTTTAAATAGAATGAATGAATGAATGAATGAATGAATGAAGGAACAAATTGGGTAAGCAAGAGGGCCTTCTGCACATGCAGAAGGAAGCCAATGAAATGAGGTCTAGGTTATCAAGCATCTGCAAAGAAAATGGAATTATTTTTTGTGGACTCTGAACTGTGGATCATACGGCGTAAGCTGCTGCTCTGTAACTAGTCCCTGGGCAAGGTCCATCAAATGCAAGGGGACCTAGTTCTGAATAAAGGTATATACTGTCAGTCACAGCTCTATTTTGCAGTAGCAACATTTACTGTGACATGTTCCTCCAGTCACCGTCTGGCACAGCATCTGCCTTGCCTTTCTTCCCTTATGGGGTTTTAAGGGCTTTTTTTGGACTAGTGCCACAAAACACAAACAGGAATTGACCAGAAAGAGGCAGCCCATTTTGAGTAAAGTGAAAAACAAATAACAAATGGAACAAACGTTTTCACCATGCACCTCTCTACCAAAAGTATGTAACAGTTTTAACGTGCAGTATATGATTTAACGTATATGTACATCAGCGGTACACAACGCATCTTATAGTTTGAAAAATATGCTAGCATATAATCAACTCCTCCACGTGTTCCATTGCTTCAAATGTGTCTACTCTAACTGCAAGTTATTTTAGCATAGAAAGTCAGTCAATGTGGGCTTATTTAAATCTGTGGAATCCACAGAGGAATTGACTCACCAAAATCTCATTAATTAAGTGGGCCTACTCTAGTGAGACTTAATACACTCAGCAACAAGTTGTTGGCCATTGAGATATCTATCAAGATTTATTGCCCTTCATAATATTCCTATTTTCATTCCTTTCTGGCTATTACTCCTTTCCAGAAACACAGTTATTGGTGAGTGCTAGCCAGACACTTATATGAAGTATAAAAGCAGCCATGTCTGTAAGCACTTATCTTTTTAAATTTTAGTTTTGGATGTCCAACATATTTCAGAATATCCACATCCATAACATGTAGCACGATCCCCCGTCCAATGTTAGGTTTTGACAATGTAATTTATTTCACTGGTGTTAACATCATCTGTATATAAGAGTGTGTCCCAACCTTTTTCAAGTCATGACCCCCCCTTTTAACTAACCTTCGACCCCTGCCACATTTGCATTAAAAGTGTGGGGGAGAGATTCCATTTCATAAGCATTGCAGCCCTAGTGACACCAATAAATGCCTTCGACTCATAATGTTGAATCAGGGCAAAATTCCCCTGGTGGACTGACCAGCATGGCAGTATTTTCTTTGCCTGCGCCAACACCAGCCCCCTAGCAGAGGGAGCAGGGCAAAAGTTTCCACTGTCCACAGAAAGAAACAGCAGGAGAGAGGAAAGATAGGGTGTGGCAGCTCACATGCCATTGCCTTTGTCTTTTGGCTGGAAACGAATGACATTTAACTCAATAGGCCATAATTTTAAGTGGACCTATATGGGAATCAGTTTAAAACAGGAAAGCAAGGAGTCATCTCAGATGTAATGGACTTGTAGTTGGAAGAGATCCTAAGGATCAAAAAATTGTAACCACAAATAACCTTGGCGACCCCCCTCTCCCACAATAGCATGGGAGTTGTGAGCCACAGGTTGGGAACCCATGGCGTATACATTTTAAGTGGCTGCCTATAACTGAACCTGAAACAGATTTTAAAAACTTCTTGTGTCCCCGTAGATTACTGTCATCTGAGCTCAAACATCCGCTTCCTAGTTTTAACCATTGTGTGGTTCATCTTCGTTTCTCTGTATGTTTTGTACTGTCAAGTTGCATCCAACTTGCAACTACTCTAATATTATTTTTGGGGAAAGTGAGATATTTAACGAATGGTTTTAACAATTCCTGGCACACACAACCAGTGAGTTTCACTGCCAACTAGCGATTTTAGGCAAGTCTCCAGAGTCCTAGTGCATCACTACACCACACACCTTCCTCTACTGTCCCTCTGTGAGATACGCAAGGCATTATGGTGATTACTGTACAGTGGTGCCTCGCTTAACGATTGCCTCACTTAATGAGGAAATTGCTTGATTATGTTTTTGTGATCACAAAAGCAATCGCAAAACGATGGTTTAAATGGGAAAAATCCGCTTTACAATGATCGGTTCCCTGCCTCGGGAACTGATTTTCGCATTATGACAATCTAAAAAAGAGCTGATTGTCGGGTTTCAGATGGCCACCGGGTGTACAAAATGGCCCCCCACTGTTTTCTAGGATGGATTCCTTGCTTTACAGGTAGCGAAAATGGCCGCCCCTATGGAGGATCTTCACTGGACAGTGAGTTTTCAGCCCATTGGAAGGCATTGAAGGGGTTTCAATGCGTTTCAATGGGCTTTTTTATTTTGCTTAACGAGGATTTCGTTCTACAACGATTTCGCTAGAACGGATTATTCTCGTTAAGTGAGGCACCATTGTATTTCAATCACTTTCTCGTTAAGTGAGGCACCACTATATTTCAATCCCTTTCTGTTTGTTTGTTATCTTATGGTTAAGGTATATATATTTACAGACAGGTTGCAAGATAGAATGGATGGGTTGACTGACAGATGAGCAATGAGTGAGTAAGTATTTGGTTCATTCACGATATTTACAGACAGGTTGCAAGATAGAATGAATGAGTTGACTGACAGATGAGCAATGAGTAAGTATTTGGTTCATTCACATAAGATTAGGAATTAAATACTTTTCAATTAATTTACATTTGATTGTACTGGCACTAAATGATGATGTCACTGGCTTCCACTGATATAAATTTACTCTAATAGGTTTTGGGCCAGAGTAGAGGAGTGCACTAGGAGTCTGAGTAATAACAGGACAGATATCTGGACAGGATCCCTGTGTATTGCTGTAAGGCACCAATATGATTGCACCAAGGGATGCTGGGGGTTTTCCCAATTATCCATTTATATTTGTTTTTTTAATCAAGAAGTCCATTTTTAAAACACCCCTAATTTTTAATGATCCGATTCACTCATTCCTGTGTACTAATTTTGATTCAAAGATTTGTTGCTGGGAATCTTAGAAGAGAACTCACTTTATAATCTCAAATATATTCTGAATATTCCCTTTTCTACCAAAGTCTCACCTTGAATGCTTTATT